CTAGTCTATGTCATAACTCTGGAAATTATTTTGAGAGTAAATAAAAAGAATGAGTGCATTTCCCAGACTATCATACTTCCTCATTTTTGATATTTTGAAAATCTGTAGTCTCTCTTGGCATGTTACAATGAGGCTTGTTTTCTTACACACTATTTTTATTATTGTCGTTTATGTCCTTTTGAGGTATAATACTAATATTTTAATATGTATGCACATAAGTTTTATTTTGATGAATTTCATTTCAAAATAGAAATAGGGCCTAACAAAATAGATATTTGTTGTCTATAGTGCCTGTTGCCTCTGACAAGCTTAGAAATAATGAATCTATAGGAATGCAAACTCCACTAATTGTAAAACAAACATCATTGAGATGATTTTAAAGCTTTCAATTAAATTTGGTCATTCCTTCTTAAAAGCAATGAATGAGATGCATGTATATTGACATATGATAATCCCCAAGATAAAGCATTAGGTTAAAAAAAATGCGGTGGTACACACAGTATGCTGCCATTTCTCTAAACATACAACACACACACACACACACACGCACACACACATTTTATTACTTGCGCATTAAATATTTCTGGAATTATATACAAATAACAGTAAATACTAATTCTGTACAAAAGATTTCATCAAAAAATAGGGTCCGGAGTGAAAGAGAGACTTGCTCTTCATTGTAAACGCATAAAATACAGTTGTGTGCTGCTGATTAAAGATCGTTTTTACTCTCTCCCCTTAATGAACTACCATTTATATAGAGGGAGGCTAAAATTATAGATTCACAAGCCTACGAGTAAAGCCATGGACCATGGACGAGGCTTCTGAGGGATTCTCAGCACAGTCAAATCTCCAGAAAGTCTGAAAATCTACAGCCCCAGGCTCCACAAACTCTACATTCCCTTGAAACTCCCTTCCCCTCCATAGAATTCTGCCTCAGATACCCTTGGTATCTGAGAGGAATGGGTCCCAGGACTCTCAAGACACCAGGTGGGTGGTGCTCAAGTCCTTTATAAGTTTGAAATAATGCTATATTTGCAAATAACCTATACATATCTTTCTGTAGAGTTGTTTTTTGTGTTTTTGTTGTTGTTTTGTTTTTGGGTTTTTTTGTTTGTTTGTTTTTTAAGATGGAGTCTCACCCTGTTGCCCAGGCTGGAGTGCAGTGGCACAATACTAGTTCACTGTAACCTCCACCTCCCAGGTTCAAGCGATTCTCCTGCCTCAGCCTCCTGAGTAGCTGGGATTACAGGCATGTGCCACCAGCTAATTTTGGTATTTTTAGTAGAGACAAGGTTTCACCACGTCGACCAGGATGATATCAAACTCTTGACCTTAGATGATCACCAGTCTCAGCCTCCCAAAGTGCTGAGATGACAGGCATGAGCCACCGTGCCCGCCCCTTTCTGAATAGTTTGTATCATCTCTCGATTACTTAGAATACATAATACAAGTTAAATGCTGTGTAAATGGTTGTTGTGTTATGTTTTTATTTTTATTTTTAATTTTTCTGGTGGAGTCTCACTCTGTCACCCAGTCTGGAGTGCAGTGGTGGGATCTCAGCTGACTACAACCTCCACCTCCTGGATTCAAGGGATTCTCCTGCCTCAGCCTCCCATGTAGCTGAGACTACAGGTGCCAGCCACCATGACCAGCTAATTTGTGTATTTTTAGTGGAGATGGGGTTTCACCATGTTGGCTAGGCTGGTCTCGAACTCCTAACCTTGTGATCCCCCCAACTCAGCCTCCCAAAGTGCTGGGATCAGAGACGTGAGCCATCATGCCCAGCTGTATTTTTGTTTCTTTATTTCATCATTGTATTTTTTGTTTGTTTCTTTTCCTGAAAATTTTTGATTTGCAGTTGGTTGAGTCCAAGAATGTGGAACCTGCAGATACAGAGTGCCAACTGTACTAAAGTCTCTTCCCTTTGACTGTCAGCTGCCTTGTGGTAGACAATGACACATTATCTTTGTATCCTCAGCTGCTAGTAAAATAGCTCACAAAGAGTGAGTATTCAATAAACACTGACTGAATGTATGGTTGAATGAGCTCATAGGATAAACCAAAATAGAGGGAGATTTGGGATCACTCATCAGCACATAGGGTTAGGAAAACCCATGGGCCATGGATGAAGCTTCTGAGGGATTCTCAACATAGTCAAATCTCCAGAAGAGCTGTTACAAATCTTCAGGTCCAGGTTCCATGAGTCCCATATTTTCTTGCAACTCCCTTGTCCCATAGAATTCTGAGTCTTCATCCTTCTCTCCAACACTCTGTTTTTTCTTTTTCATTTTTTTACAGTGATTTATTTTTCTTTACAGGGATGTAATTTGCACTGGTTCAACAACACTCTATCTGAAAGCACAGTTTACAATTACAACAGAGGGGCCGGGCTTGGTGGCTCACGCCTGTAATCTAAACACTTTGGATGCCAAAGCGGGCAGATCACCTGAGTTTGGGAGTTCAAGACCAGCCTGACCAACATGGTGAAACCTTGTCTTAAAAAAAAAAAAAAAAAGAATTACAACAGAGGAATGAGAGTTTATTTCAGGAGCCTGTTCAGTTGCATAGCAGCCTTGTGGTATCAGAAAACACAGTGAGAACCACTGGCAGAAATAGATAGTCAAGGACAGGACCCTGGAAAACACGTTTAAGAGGCAGTCAGAGAAAGAGCAATTTGAATAACGAACTGTGTAAGAGCTGTAGAAAGAGGATGGGAACTGTTGAAAGAACTTGAATCTGGCCAAGCACAGTAGCTCACACCAGTAATCCAAGCACTTTGGGAGGACACGGCCGACGGATCACAAGTTTAAGGGATCAAGACCTTCCTAGCCAACATGGTGAAAATATGTCTCTCTAAAAATACAAAAAAATTAGCTGGGTGTGGTGGCATGAACCTGTAGTCACACCTATTTGGGAGGCTGATGCAGGAGAATTGCTTGAACCCGGGAGGTGGAGGTCTAGCACGGATGACAAGAGTGAAACTGTCTCAGAAAAAAAGAAAGAAAAGAAAAAGAACAATTCTGTCTCAAAACACTCCGGATATTCTCTTTTGATTGTGTGTCCTTCAACAGCACAGGAAATGAACAGCCATCGCTGGGATCAAGGTGTCCTTCTGCCTCAGCCTCTTAAAGTGCTGGAACTACAGGCCTGAGCCACTGTGCCGGGCTGTAAAAATTCTTAGAAAGCAGAATGATATATTGTATAAGACTGTTCTAAAAAGCTTCCTGATGAGAGGGGGTTATACTGTGATTTCCCTGTGTAGTCACTGAAAGAGATAGGATGTTGTAGCAGCACAGAGAAGGGACGTTGCAACCCTGTGGACCTGGCTGAGCTGCCCTGCTAAGCCTTCCTTTTCACTTTTGTGTATCGAAGACAATTCTTTTTACAAAACAGAATTCTTCAGATTCAATGGAATGTTTGACTAAGTCGAAAAATACAGGGTTTTTAATAAAGTACTCAGAAAGTGGTAGTTTTTAATGTAAAATGACAGGATTAAAAAATGCTGGAAATTAAGTTCACTGGAAGCAAGGTTATGCTCCTTGTCCTTCAAAAATATTATTATTATTATTTTTTTTTTATCACAAATAGACATTTACTATTTAGTCTGAATGTTAGGCCAGGCACGGTGGCTCAAGCCTGTAATCCCAGCACTTTGGGAGGCCGAGGCGGGTGGATCACAAGGTCAAGAGATCGAGAACATCCCGGTCAACATGGCGAAACCCCGTCTCTACTAAAAATACAAAAAATTAGCTGGGCATGGTGACGCGTGCCTGTAATCCCAGCTACTCAGGAGGCTGAGGCAGGAGAATTGCCTGAACCCAGGAGGCAGATGTTGTGGTGAGCCGAGATTGCGCCATTGCACTCCAGCCTGGGTAACAAGAGTGAAACTCTGTCTCAAAAAAGAAAAATAACAATAGTCTGAATGTTGACCACAAAAAGTGAAATATTTCTGCTGATAAAGGAAGATTTTAAAAACCGCATGATAAATGAACACAAGGAGGAGGGACAGCTGTAGAACAACTGTGCTCTCATTTGCAGCTTAAAGAGGGAATGGACACAGGCCACCTCCACGCCATATCATCAGCTGGGAACGTCACAGTTTTTGACCTTTGACACGTGGGGACTGGAGGTGACTAGACTGGATGCCACTAGATTATTTTTCATGAACATGAGGTTTTCTAACTCTGTCATTTTGATTTTTCCAAAGGTTCCCGCAGATGGTGCTAGGCACTATTCGGTGGCTCAGTTCTGGAGAGAGGCATTTGCGTTCTTGATGAACAGAAAAGCCTCATCTCAAGTGAACAGACCGCTTCCACACGGAAGCATTCTTTATTTCTGTCTCTTTGCCCTGGCCTGCCAGATGCCCAGTTTTAGATATTGCGTCTATTTTCTCTGTGCTGTAGGATTCTAATCATTTATTAAGTGAATACTTCAAATTGCTTGAGTGGATGACTAGAGGAACGAGATTTTAAAAGGTGAATGAATTTAATTAATTAATTAATTAATTTTTAGACAGAGTGTCTCTGTCGCCCAGGCTTGACTGCAATGGCACATCTCCGCTTACAGCGATGTCCGCCTCCCGGGTTCAGGGGATTCTCCTGCCTCAGCCTCGAGAGTACCTGGGACTACAGGCGTCGGTCACCAAGCCCAGTTAGTTCTTATATTTTTGGTAGAGATGAGGTTTCTCCGTTTTGGTCAAGCTGGTCTCACACTCCTGATCTCAGGTGATCCGTCGTCCCGCCCCCTCCTCCTCTCCCTCCCCCGCTTCCCCTGCCCCGCCTCGGCCTCCCAAAGTGCTGTGATTACAGCTGGGAGCCATCGCGCCCAGCCGTGATTGGATCGATTAATGAGAAGATCCCAGAAGATTAGGGCTGAAGGTCAACATTCAGCAGCTGTTACCACCTGGGTGACAGCTGAAAGGGAAACTCCCTACAGGGTTTCACGGTGACCCTGGCCAGGTAGGGACCCAAACAGTGAACTGTGTCCAGTCTTCTGAGATGGCTGAGAAAACGCCTCTGTTCCCAGGGGAGGGAGGGGCCGTCCGCCCCAGGAGCCGCCTCGCGGACAGGAGCGCCCCCGCCACGCAGACAGGAGCGCCGCTCCCCGCCGGGAGCAGACCTTCCTGGGGCCCAGCGAGGCTCCTGAGCGCCCGGGAGAAGGGGAGCGCAGGTGGACTCCAAAAGGCGACAGCTCCAGCCCCGGCTGGGATTGGGGGAACCTGGCGAGGGGGCCTCCATCCCCACGGGCTCGGGATGGAGTCCTCCGAGTACCCCGGAAAATGGGAATGCAGTCAGAGTCGCGGTGGCCGAGAAGCTGCCTTTGAGTCCTCCACGGGGAGCTGGGATTGCTCCGCACAGGTGACCTGTGGGATTATAAGAGGGATGTTGACAGCGATAACATCTACATTAAAAACAACAACGACAGGCCTGGCGCGGTGGCTCACGCCTGTAATCCCAACACTTTGCGAAACGGAGGCGGGTGAATCAAGACGTCAAGAGACTGGAACCATCCTGGCCAACAGGGCGAAACCCGGTCTCAAAACAACAACAACAACAACAACAACAACAAACCACAAAGGTTTTAAGTAAGCAACTACTATATATGGTAAGGAACTAGAAAAAAGCAACTAAGCTCAAAGTTAGCAGAAGGGAGAAAATAACAGATTACAAGAGAAACAAATAAAATAGGAAATAGAAAAGGAATAGAGAAAAAAGAAACTAAGATTTGGTTTTTGAAAAGATAAAATTGATGAAAACCCTTGACTAACGAAGAAAAAAGAAAGCATGCAAATAAATATAATAAGAAATAATAGACGATATTACAGCTGATGTCGATTACTCACATAATTTTATACGAGTTTCTTATAAACTATAAATAAAATGGATTATAAGAAACTCGTATAAAATTATACTCCAAGGAAACTGGACAAGCAAGAGGAAATAGGTAAGGTCCTACAAACATACACCTTACTGAGACAAAATCATAAAGAAATAGAAGATTTGAACAGATCTAAAACTAGGACGGAAATGAAATCCGTACTCAAAATTACCACCCCACAAAGACAGAAACAAGTCTTCACTGATGAACTTTGCCTCATATTTAAAGAACCATTAATTGCAATCTTTCTCAATATTTTTAAATTTTTATTATTTTTTCTTTTTCTTTTTCTTTTCTTTTCTTTTTTTTTTTTTATTGTTATGAAGGAGTCCCCTGAATCACGTTTTTATTTTTTAACTTTTTTTTTAAACCTCCACTTGTCAGCAGGAGCCTTCTCAATCTTTTAAACAATTTAGCCGGGCTCAAGCCTGTAATCCCAGCACTTTGGGAGGCCGAGGCTGGTGGATCACGAGGTCAAGAGATCGAGACCATCCTGGTCAACATAGTGAAACCCCGTCTCTACTAAAAATACAAAATAATAATAATAATAATAATAAATTAGCAGGGCATCGTGGCGCATGCGTGTAATCCCAGCTACTTAGGAGGCTGAGGCAGGAGAATTGCCTGAACCCAGGAGGCGGAGGTTGCAGTAAGCCGAGATGGCACCATTGCACTTCAGCTTGGGTAAAAAGAGCGAAACTCCGTCTCAAAAAAAAAAAAAAAAAAAAAAAAAAAAATTTAAGAGGGCCGGGCGCTGTGGCTCAAGCCTGTAATCCTAGCACGTTGGGAGGCCGAGGTGGGTAGATCACGAGGTCAAGAGATCGAGACCATCCTGGTCAACAGGGTGAAACACCGTCTCTACTAAAGAAAATACAAAAAAAAAAAAAAAAAAAAAAAAATTAGCTCGGCATGGTGGTGCGTGCCTGTAATCCCAGCTAATCAGGAGGCTGAGGCAGGAGAATTGCCTGAACCCAGGAGGCGGAAGTTGCGGTGAGCCGAGATTGCGCCATTGCACTCTAGCCTGGGTAACTCGGTCTCAAAAAAAAAAAAAAAAAAAAAAAGAATTATATTTGTATTTGAAAAGATCAGTTTAGCTACAGAATTAGGAAATTGGAGGCACCATTGTGTATGTAGGAAAGAGACCTAGGTGGCTTAAACTAGGATGATGATCCTGCCTACAGAGCTGTTTAATGTCCTGATTTTAAATAGTAGAGAAGACTGCTTTGTGTGTGTGCTTGGGGGAAGGGGGGCACAATGATACCTGGAGCCTGGAGCGAGTACCTCTTCTGTCCTTTACACTGTGCGAGTGTCCTTTTTTTGTGTATGCTTTCTTTTCTTCTTCTTTTTTTTTTTTTTTTTTTTTGAGACAAGAGTTTCGCTCTTGTTGCCCAAGCTGGAGTGCAATGGTACGATCTCTGCTCACTGAAATCTCCACCTCCCCGGTTCAAGAGATTCTCCTGCCTCAGCCTCGGGAGTAGCTGAGATTACAGTCACCATGCCCGGCTAATTTTTTTCTATTTTTAACAGAAATGGGGTTTCACCAGACGGGCGTGATGACTCACGCCTCTAATGCCAGTACTTTGGAAGGTCAAGGTGGGTGGATTACGAGGTCAGAAGATGGAAACCATCTTGGCCAACATGGTGAAACCGCGTCTCCACTAAAAATACAAAAATTATCAGGGTGTGGTGGTGCGCCTGTAGTCCCAGCTACTCTGTAGGCTGAGCAAGGATAATTGCTTGAATCCGGGAGTTAGAGGTTGCAGTTCGCTGAGATTGTGCCACTGCACTCCAGACTGGCGACAGAGCACGACTGTGTCTCAAAGAAAAAAAAAAAAAAAAAAAAAAGGTTCTCACTATGTTATCCAGGCGGGTCTCGAGCTCCTAATCTCAAGTGATCTGCCCACCTCGTCGGCCTCCCTAAGTGCTGGGATTACAGGAGTGAGCTACTGCTCCCCTGCCGTTTTTACAAAACTGTATATTTTCTTTTGATTTTATAATTGTTTCCAGTGATGCTTTGCAGTTTACTATGTGACACTGGGCAAGTTCTTTTTTGTTTTGTTTTGTTTTGTTTTGTTTTGTTTTGTTTTTGTTTTTGTGTTTTTTTTTAAGATAGAGTCTTGCTCTGCTGCCCAGGCTAGAGTGCAGTGGCGAGACCTTGGCTCACTGCAATCTCTGCAAGCCAGGCTCAAGCGATTCTCCTGCCTTAGTGTCCCAGGTAGCTGGGAATACTGACGCCTGCCACTGCACCCAGCTAATTTTTGTATTTTTGGTACAGATGGGGATTCACCATCTTGGCCAGGCTGATCCTACTGACCTCATGATCCAACTGCCTTTGCCTCCCAAAGTCTGGGATTACAGGTATTATATAAACATATGTGTGTGTGTGTGTGTGTGTGTGTGTGTGTGTGTGTATTGACTTTTTTGTGATTTTTTAATTTTTTTAAATTGCATTTTAGGTTTTGGGGTACATGTGAAGCACATGCAAGATTGTAAAGTTTGCTCTTGTCACCCAGGCTGGAGTACAATGGTGTGATTTCAGCACACTAGGACCTCCACCTCCCAGGTTTCAGTGATTCTCCTGACTCAGCCTCCCAAGTACCAGGGACTACAGGCATGCCACCATGCCTGGTTAATTTTAGTATTTTTAGTAGAGACAGGTTTTCACCATATTGTCTAGGCTGGTCTTGAACAGCTGACCTCAGGTAATCCCTCTGCCATGTCCTCGGAAAGTGCTGGGATTACAAGTATAAGCCACCACACCTGGAAATGAAGGATTCTTAAAACATCTTTTTTTTTTTTTTTTTTTTTTTTAGACGGAGTTTCGCTCTTGTTACCCAGGCTGGAGTGCAATGGCGCGATCTCGGATCACCACAACCTCCACTTCCTGGGTTCAAGCAATTCTCCTGCCTCAGCCTCCTGAGTAGCTGGGATTACAGGCACGTGCCACCATGCCCAGCTAATTTTTTGTATTTTTAGTAGAGACGCGGTTTCACCATGTTGGCCAGGATGGTCTCGATCTCTTGCCCTCGTGACCCACCCGTCTCGGCCTCCCAAAGTGCTGGGATTACAGGCTTGAGCCACCGCGCCTGGCTGTATTAACACACTTCTAAAACTTACGTAATTTATTCATTTATGCTTAAAACCTGAGACAGTATTATTTCCTACTTTCTGAAAAGTGAAACTCAGAATTTAACTTGACCAAGTTGACCAAGTACCTGTAGATAGCAAAGTGTTAGAGTTGGATGAAAACCCAATTCTGTTAGGAATTGTTAGCTTTCAATTTCTATGTTCCCTGTTTTCACCATTGTAATGTTGGACCAGTAAGTGCATTATTCCCTGTTAAAATATTTGGGAGACATTATTAAGTATGAACAACTGAGCATATCAAATATGAAAGATGTAAGGTGGTTTCATATAGAGAGAAGCATAGGCTGCTCTGGGAGTGTAAGGAAGGAGCGCTACAACTTAGTGATTATCATGCCAGTGGCTATGCCAATCAGCGTAATGATGGGTAAGCGTGTTCAAATTCGTGTGGACTCGGCTTTTACATCTCTAAGTGAGGATGATAGCTCCTAACTGATGGAGTTATTCCGATGGTTTGGTTGAACCTGTGTCTATATGGAAGATCCTTAGCATAGTGCCTGACATATAATAAATTATCCTTGAGGACATGTCACTTGTGCTGAGTCTCTAGTTGCAAAACAGTCCTAGGAAAGAAGTGAGAGTAGGGTAATCTAAGCAGAAAGTGGTTTGTGCAGAAGAGGGAAAGCAAGATACCCATGTTTATTTGTTTTTGTTAAGTACTTTAGGGCACTGTAGCCAGATGAAGATAATGAAATACAGAGGGCTCTGAATGGTGAGCTCAGGGTGAAAAACTTTGTTGTGACTTATGGGGAGTTATTAACAGGTTATAAAGAGGGGAAACATGTAATTTGTTTAAAGAGTGAAGGCCTGAGGTACAAATTAATTGATGTCAACAAGCAATAGGCATGTTGGGAGCAGTGGCTCATGTCTGTAATCCCAGCACTTTAGGAGGCCGAGGCAGGCAGATCACCTGCAGTCCAGAGTTCAAGACCAGCCTGGACAACATGGCGAAAACCCATCTCCACATAATATACAAAAATTAACTGGGTGTGGTGGTGTATACCTGTTGTCCCAGCTACTCAGGAGGCTGAAGCAGGAGAATCACTTGAACCCAGGAGGTAGAGACTGCAATGAACCAAGATCCTGCAACTGGGCAACAGAGCAAGGCTCTACCTCATGAAAAAAAAGAAAAAGAAGAACCAGTAAAGCCATTGGCAAATCTTGAATGTGGGGTAGTCTAGGACATAGGTGGAGGCAGGGAACATTTTTCTAGATTGAAAAAGATTTAAAAGAACTAATAAGCAAATGCAATTCATGGCTCTTGTTTGGTTTCAGATGACAAGAGATCTAGCAGAAAGTTCCTTTGGCCGGCCGGGCACGGTGGCTCATGCCTGTAATCCTAGCACTTTGGGAGGCCGAGGTGGGTGGATCACCTGAGGTCAGGAGTTCAAGACCAGCCTGGCCATATATATATATATATATATATATATATATATATATATAGAGAGAGAGAGAGAGAGAGAGAGAGACAGAGACAGAGACAGAGACAGAGACAGAGAGACAGAGAGAGAGCAGAGTTTCACCCTTGTTGCCCAGGCTAGAGTGCAATGGCATGATCTTAGCTCACTAAACCTCTGACTCCTAGGTTCAAGTGATTCTCCTGCCTCAGTGTCTCGGGTAGCTGGGATTACAGGCATGCACCACCACACTGGGCTAATTTTGTATTTTTAGTGGAGATGGAGTTTCTCCATGTTAGTCAGGCTGGGTTAGGTAGCTTGCAAGGTTTGATGGAGGAATCTGACTTGCTTAAAATCAGGTACCTGTAGGTGTCTTGAAAGCAAACCAGGAAGTTTTGATCCCTCACTTTTATTTTGAAAGCGTCAGACCTAAAGAAAGTTTGAAAGGGTGGGTATCCTTATACTTTTTCCCTGGATTCACCCCATTGTTAACTTTTTGTTACATTCATGTTTTCTCTGTTTATGTATGTTTTTGTTTGTTTGAGACACAGTCTCTCTGTGTCACCCAGGCTGGAGTGCAATGGTGTCATCTCAGCCCACTGCAACCTCCACCTCCCAGGTTCAAGCAATTCTCCTGCCTCAGCCTCCTGGGTAGCTGGAATTACAGGCATGCACCACCACACCTGGCTAACTTTTTATTTTTAGTGGAGACGGGCTATCTCTGTTTGTCAGGCTGATCTCAAACACCCGACCTCAGGTGATCTGCCCACCTTGGCCTTAAAAAGTGCTGGGATTAAAGGTGTGAGCTACCATGCTTGGCTATATATTTTGTTAAATTGTGGAAATTTCTGAAAGTTTCAGATTTCCAGATGGCTTCCTGCTGTGTATTAATATGTATCTCCTAACAATGAAGCCATTTATTTATTTATTTATTTTTTGAGACGGAGCGTCGCTCTTGTTACCCAGGCTGGAGTGCAACGGCGCGATCTCGGCTCACCGCAACCTCCGCCTCCTGGGTTCAGGCAATTCTCCTGCCTCAGCCTCCTGAGTAGCTGGGATTACAGGCACACGCCACCATGCCCAGCTAATTTTTTATATTTTTAGTAGAGACGGGGTTTCACCATGTTGACCAGGATGGTCTCGATCTCTTGATCTCTTGATCCACCCGCCTCAGCCTCCCAAAGTGCTGGGATTACAGGCTTGAGCCACCGCGCCCGGTGAAGCCATTTATTTTTTACTATAATTTTATTGTACCTAATTTAACACTGGTAGAACATTATGTGAGATGGAGTCCATACTAAGATTCTTACATTTATTTCTTCCCAATTCTCTCTTTATCTTTCTTTCCTTCCTTCCTTCTTTCTCTCTTTCTTTCTTTCTTTTCTTTCTTTCTCTTCTTTCTTTCTTTCTTTTTTTTTTTCTTTTTTTTTTGAGACGGAGTTTCGCTCTTGTTACCCAGGCTGGAGTGCAATAGCGCGATCTCGGCTCACCGCAACCTCCGCCTCCTGGGTTCAAGCAATTCTCCTGCCTCAGCCTCCTGAGTAGCTGGGATTACAGGCATGCGCCACCATGCCCAGCTAGTTTTTTGTATTTTTAGTAGAGACGGGGTTTAACCGTGTTCACCAGGATGGTCTCGATCTCTTGACCTCGTGATCCACCCGCCTCGGCCTCCCAAAGTGCTGGGATTACAGGCTTGAGCCACCGCGCCCGGCCTCTTTCTTTTTTTTAATATATGGTTTCACTCCAGTGCCCAGGGTTTAGTGTTGTCCTACAAACTCGGGTAACTGCAACATGTATCTCCCAGGGTCCAGCGAAGTGATTCTCCTGCCTCAGCCTCTCAGGCAGCTGGGATTACATGCACATGCCACCTTGCCCAGCTAATGTTTTGTATTTTTAGTAGAGATGGAGTTTCACCATGTTGATCAAGCTGGTCTTGAACCCCTGGCTGCAAGGGAGTCATACATCTTGGCCCCTCAGTGTTGTGATTCCAGGTGTTAGCCACCATACCTGGCCTATTTCCAGCATTTTTTTAGTTCTTTGTTGCTGTTGCTGTTAAATTTCAAGATTTCAGATCCAATCAGATATCACATGTTGTATTTTTCACGTTTCTTTCCTCTCCTTAAATCTGGAAATCTTTTTTTATGATTGTTTTTCCTATAATTGACAGTTTTGTAGAATACATACCAGTTGTCTAGTAGGATTGCTCCACAATCTGAATTAATTTTCTCATGGTTAGCTTGAAAGTCAATATTTTTGGAAAGAATATGATATGAGCAATGCTGTAAAGTTGCCATTGCATTCTACCAAGAAGCACGTAAGTTTGTTCCACATTTTTAACAGTGTGTGTGTGTGTGTGTGTGTGTGTGTGTGTGTGTAAAATGTATGATGCGAATCTCTGCACTATTAATATCTTGTTTTTCCAAGAACATCCACCCAGTGATTTCAGCATTCTTTGATGATTCCTGTGTGAATGTTTAATACATTTGTGATTATGTAATCAGATTTGTAATGTTTTGTCTTTTCTCACTCATAGGGAGGATTCCTTATCTTAGACCTGAGTCTACTTTCTTGAGGAAAACTTGACTTTATTTCATTAAGAGGGAAGAGCAGCAACCCAGCTAATACGTTGAAATGTGCAATAGGCCGCAGGCTGTGAAGTATTCATGGCCGTAGACTCTGAAGCTAAGGAGCTGAGAAGTTTCTAGAAGCTGCCATCTACATGCCAAAGCAGTAAAAGTGAAAGCCAATTCAAATTTCAAGGTCTGGGGGAAGATATGTACTGCTTACTGGGACTTAAGTCTAAAGAGCTAGGCCTTATTAAAATAATTACTTTACCTACCATCTTTGTTCAGGGCTCAATGGCTGACCTTCAAGCAGTGGCTAGCTGTCCCATCTGTCTGGATTACTTGAAAGACCCAGTGACCATCAGTTGTGGGCATAACTTCTGTCTCTCCTGCATCATTATATCCTGGAAGGATCTAGATGATAGTTTCCCCTGCCCTTTTTGCCACTTTTGCTGTCCCGAAAGGAAATTGACAAGCAATCCTCAACTGGGTCGTTTGACTGAAATTGCTAAGCAACTCCAGATAAGAAGCAAGAGAAAGCGGCAGGAAGAGAAGCATGTATGTAAGAAGCATAATCAGGTTTTGACCTTTTTCTGTCGGGAAGACCTAGAGCTTTTATGTCCAAGGTGCAGTTTCTCCACTGATCACCAGCTTCACTGTGTTCGGCCCAGAAAGAAGGCTGCCTCCCATCACAGGAAAAAATTGGAGGAATACAATGCTGCATGGAAGGAGAGAGTGGAACTAACTGAAAAAATCATAACTGTACAAACCAGAAAATCGTTAGAACTGAAGAAAAAGGTAAAACATAAGGAAGAAGAAGTCAGGTCTGAATTTGAGCAACTTAGGTTATTTCTCCAAAAGGAGCAAGAGACTGTTCTTGGGCAATTACAAGCTGAAGAGACGGATATTTTAGCACAACTAAATGAAAGCCTAAGAAAATTCTCAGATCATACCTCCTCATTAAAATATCTACTAAAGGAGATACAGAGCACATATGTAAAGCCAGGACTGGAATTACTGGCAAATGTTAAGGATATCTATCACAGGTACAAAAATTTCAAATTCCTTGAACCTTTTTCATTCAGATTAAAAGAATACGGTTACCGTCTGCCTCCACAATATTCTGGCCTATAGAAAATTATCAAGCGATTTCAAGTAGATGTAATTCTAGATCCTGAAACAGCACATCATAAACTTGTAGTCTCAGCAGATAGGAAAACTGTGCGCTATGGAAATACAGTGCAAAACTTACCTTCAAACCCAAGAAGATTTTATCGCCTCCCAGCTGTTGTGGGTTCTAAGGGCTATAGTAGTGGCCGGCAGTACTGGGAAGTAGAAGTGAAAGACAAGCCTGAATGGATCCTTGGTGTCTGTGATGACTCTCTTCCCAGAAGGAGGAAGCGCTCACCAACATTAGTACAGAATGGATTGTGGGGAATTCGGCGATCTGGTTGGGATAATTATATTGTATTGGGTCATGAGGAAATTAATCCGCTGCCAAAAGTAGCACCTAGTAAGATTGGCATTTTTTTAGACTATGAAATGAGTGAGATTTCCTTTTATAATGTGAATGATAGCTCTGTACTGTATACTTTTAATGATGATTTTACAGGGCCACTTTGGCCTTATTTTTATACTGGAATGGACTCAAAACCTCTTAAAATTTCTAGAGTAACAGATTGTGAATAAATAGCTATTTGAAAACTGTCATTTCTTTTACACCTAGCAAACATGATAGAGCCAGTGAATCTAGTTTTGCTAATTCTGTATTTTCTGCTATTTTTCCCACCAAAGAAACCGCAGAATTGTTTATATGTCAGTTTCAGCACTAAAAAAATGTGATGATAGGACCTACTTAATAACAAATTATGGGTCAAAGACAAACTACTTTAGAAATCCTGAAATAAAATACTAAAAATATATACTAAAGAAATGTATTATGTAAAAAAAAAAAATACTCCAGTTATTGCCAATAGAAGCCCTATAATGTTTCTTCAGTATTGCTTATTTTTTTTCCTTTAAGAATGATTAAGTCTTTATTAATGATTGTGTCGTCCAGGCTGTAGTGCAATGGCGCAATCTCAGCTCACTGCAACCTCTGCCTCCTGGGTTCCAGCGAGTCTCCTGTCTCAGCCTCCTGAGTAGCTGGGATTACAGGCACGCACCACCACACCTGGCTAATTTTTGTATTTTTAGTAGAGTTGGGGTTTCACCATGTTGATCAGGCTGGTCTTCAACTCCTGACATTGTGATATGCCTGCCTCAGCCTCCCAAAGTGCTGGGATTAGAGGTGTGAGCCACTGCACCTGACCAACTTTTTTTTTATAATTTTTTTTTTTTTTTTTTTGAGATGGAGTTTCGCTCTTGTTACCCAGGCTGCAGTGCAATGGCGCAATCTCGGCTCACCGCAACCTCCGCCTCCTGGGTTCAGGCAATTCTCCTGCTTCAGCCTCCTGAGTAGCTGGGATTACAGGCATGCGCCACCATGCCCAGCTGATTTTTTGTATTTTTAGTAGAGATGGGGTTTCACCATGTTGACCACGTTGGTCTCGATCTCTTGACTTTGTGATACACCCTCCTCAGCCTCCCAAAGTGCTGGGATTACAGGCTTTAGCCACTGCGCCTGGCTAATTAATTTTTTTTTTAATTTCTATTTTGCCCAGGCTGGTCTTGAACGTGTGACCTCAAGCATTTCTCATGCCTTAGCCTCCTAAAGCACTGGGATTACCAGCATGAACCTCAATGCCCAATGCCACTTTTCCCTTTCATCTGTCTACCTCAATATTTCTAAATACCTATTTTTTATTCAGTATGTCTTTGTCAGGACTACCTTAGTTTTCTAGAAAATGAAATGGTAGCTCATGCCCTTAATCCTAGCACTTGGGAGGGTGAAGTGGGCGGATCACCTGAGATCAGGAGGTTGAAACCAGACTGGCCAAAATGGTAAAACCCCATCTCTACTAAAAATACAAACACATTAGCCGTGCATGGTGGCACATGCCTGTGATTCCAGCTATTCATTGGGCTGAGGCAGGAGAATTGCTTGAACCCGGAAGGCAGAGATTGCAGTGAGCTGAATTGTGCCATGATTTGCAATACAGCCTGGGAAACGAGTGAAACTCCGTCTGAAAAAGAAATAAGAGATGGCACTCTTACATCCTCCTCTGCCACACACACACTTACTTACTGTACACACACAATCAGTAGAACATCTGTTCTGTTCCACTGGACAGAGTACTCTCTAGTGTAGTCAGCTACTGCCCTTCACTTCTCTTTGGGAACTGATCTCTAGGCTCAGAATCTGTATTAACTTAGTTCCATATTTTCCTCCTTAGGTTTATTCAGTTAATTCAGGGATTAATATCTTTCAATTGATGAAAAATAGGTAACTTTTGGAAAAACTTGTGTTAACAAAAAAGATGGTGTGATTTTGATGGGATTATGTGTTATACCTTTTTATATTAGTATGGAGAAAATTAACATCTTAACGTATCAGCTAGTAGACATAACTGAGAGTGAGTCTAGTCTATTCCATGAATTTTTATCTAATTGTCTAAAATTTGTAACTTTTAGTGTACATGTGTTTAACATCTTTTGTCAAATTTGTCCTTAAGTATTCGAATTTTTTATTTTTTAAATTTTATTATTATTATTATTTTTTTTTTTGAGACAGAGTTTCGCTCTTGTTACCCAGGCTGGAGTGCAGTGGCACGATCTCAGCTCACCGCAACCTCCGTGTCCTGGGTTCAGGCAATTCTCCTGCGTCAGCCTCCTGAGTAGCTGGGATGACAGGCACGCACCACCATGCCCAGCTAATTTTTTATATTTTTAGTAGAGACGGGGTGTCACCCTGTTCACCAGGGTGGTCTTGATCTCTTGACCTTGTGATCCACCTGCCTGAGCCTCCCAAAGTGCTGGGATTACAGGGTTGAGCCACCGTGCCTGGCAAGTATTCGATATTTTTATGTCGATTATTTCAATTCTAATTGTTTACTACGAGAATATAGAAAACTGATTTTTGTGTGTTATTTCCTATAAGCTTGTTAAACGCATTTCTAGGAGCTCCTATGTAGATTCCATTGGATTTTCTAGATAGGTAATCACGTCATGAGTAAGGAAAGACATCTGTACTTCTTGTGTAACCTTGGTCGTCCTTCCTTCCTTCTTCCTTCCTTCTTTCTTTCCTTCTCTTTTTTTCTCTCTCTCTCTTTTTTAAATGTCTCTGTCTCCATTCCACTCTGTCACCCAAGTTGGAGTTTAATGGTGCAATCTTGGATCATTGCAACCACCACTTCTGGGGTTCAAATGATTATCTGGCCTCAGTCTCCCGTGTACCTGGGATTACAGGTACCCACCACTACACCTGGCTCATTTTTGTGTTCTTAGTAGAGATGGAGTTTCACCATGTTGGCCAGTGTGGTCTCAAACTCCTGACCTCAAGTGTTCTGCCTGCCTGACCAAAGTGCTGGGATTACAGACGAGCCACTGCGCCCTGCCCAAAACCACAATTTTTTAAAATCTGGATTTAAAGTTTCAATTATTATTTACAACATTTATTTAAATTACAAATATCTCTTTTTTTTGAGACGGAGTTTCGCTCTTGTTAACCAGGCTGGAGTGCAATAGCATGATCTCCGCTCACTGCAACCTCCGCCTCCTGGTTCAAGCTATTCTCCTGCCTCAGCCTCCCGAGTAGGTGGGACTACAGGCATGCGCCACCATGCCCAGCTAATTTTTGTATTTTTAGTAGAGATGGGGTTTCACCATATTGACCAGAATGGTCTCGATCTCTTGACCTCGTGATCCATCCGCCTTGGCCTCCCAAAGTGCTGCGATTACAAGCTATTCTCCTGCCTCAGCCTCCTGAGTAGCTGGGACTACAGGCGTGTGCCACCACACCCGGCCGAATTTTTGTATTTTTAATACTAACCTGGTTTCACCATGTTGTCTGGGCTGGTCTTGAATTCGTGATCTCAGGCAATCCACCCATTTTGGCCTCCCAAAGTGCTGGGATTGCAGGCATGAGCCACCACACCTGGCCCAAAAAAATTTTAAAGTAGAGAAGAGCTTGTCTTGCAGAGACTTGTATGTGTGGCTTTTGTTTAATGCCAATAGATTTTATATTTAATCCCAACAGATTTTATGTACCAGCTCAACAACACTGAAAAACCTACATCCTTGAATACTGGTTTCATGTATAACATGAGCTATAACAACCTTTAACTAAGAATGCAAGGAAACTGTTTCCTAAACACACAAATATTTGTTAATATTATTAGGTGAGTGCAAAGGTAATGGAAGTTTCTGCCATTAATTTAATGAAAAAAACCGTGATTACTTTTGCACCAAACAAATACTACAAATTTTTTTTGTTACATGACCGTTAGGCAAACACTTTAAAATATATAAATTAGTCATGAATAAAATTAAATCATTCACAGTTCCCTCATCCAGAGATATCTTTGTGTCTATAAATGTGTGGTTAGCATAAATTACATATAGCTGGTTCTTTTTTTTGAGACGGAATTTCACTCGTTACCCAGGCTGGAGTGCAATGGCACGATCTCAGCTCACCGCAACCTCCGCCTCCTGGGTTCAGGCAATTCTCCTGCCTCAGCCTCCTGAGTAGCTGAGATTACAGGCATGCACTACCATTCCCAGCTAGTTTTTTGTATTTTTAGTAGAGAAGGGGTTTCACCATGTTGACCAGGATGGTCTCGATCTCTTGACCTCATGATCCACCCGCCTCTGCCTCCCAAAGTGCTGGGATTACAGGCGTGAGCCACCACGCCCTAGCTGGTTCTTTAAAAAACAAACAAACAAAAAAAAAAAACCCAACAACAAAAAAAAACACACACACACACACATAAATGGGTACTTCTTGGAGTTATTCTCTTGTTACACAGACTGAAGTGCAATGGGCAATCTCAGCTCACCATTGCCACTGCCTCTGGAGGTCAAGTGATTCTCCTGTCTCGGCTTCCTGAGTAGCTGGGAATACAGGCAGGTGCCACCACATCCAGCTAAAGTTTTATATTTTTAGTAGAGACAGGGTTTCACCATGTTGATCAAACTGGTTTTGAACTCCTGACCTTGCGATCTGCCCCGCCCAGCCTCCCAAAGTGCTGGGATTACAGGCATGAGCCACCATGCCCTGCAGATATATTTTCAAATTGAGAACTGTGTTGAAGTGGTAAGTGAAACTATCCTGCCTCCACCCTCTAGGACATCCACTGTCACTAACTTGATCTATGCATTTTTAAGCATATCATACTGAACACAACACACACTATATATATTTACATGTACATATATATATATATATATACAAATACAACTGGAGTACAAATAATTCACATTTCAGTCAAATGCCAAGTGGCTGAATAGTTAAAATTTGGCTGAAGCTGAACACAAAGCCAAATATTAACATTATAGAACAATTCCTGTGATGGAATTCTTGGGTGGGGTTAGGGTTTGGGAGAGACGTCGGAGGCTCAGGCTGCAAATGGAGTGACACTGGGAGGACTTCCCATCACAGTCTATGAGGATGAAAATTGGAGAACTCCCCTAACTGGGGTGGGAAAGGACACTGCATTGAGGAAGTGCTTAGGAAATTTCCTTTGCAGACACCTGGCCAGGGGAGCGGATAATATAGGTGAGGTCGGAGGAGAATACAGTAGTTGGCAGTG